ATGTGAATAAATGGTTTTTGAAAATAATTTGGGAGTCGTCATCGGCCTTTTGGGTCAGGTAGGTCGAATACCTAAAAATTATTTTTTTAAAAGAGTTTTAAGAAAACATCAATTAAAAAATGAACTGATCTGCGTTTATAACCAAAAATTCGTTCTTTTTAATAATAAAAAGGGATTCGTGGTCGGTTACGTTTAGGGAAGGATTAGCACCCCTAAAACACCCAAAATTGGTACTTTTTTAATTATAAATTGTCTCTATTATTAAAAATTTAAAAATTTAAAATATATTTAATTTATAATCCTATTATTTCAAAATTATATAAAAAATATTTATTTATTTAAAAATATCAGAAAAGGACTTCTAGGTGCCTTAAGACAGTTATTTTCTTTGATATTAATAAATATTAATTTAAATAAAATTAAATAATAATTTTTTATAATATTTAATTTTAAAATACCAAAATAGGACATCCAGTTGTATTAAGACTGCTATTTTCTTTGATATTGACAAATAAATGTTAAAATAATTTATTAAAAAAATATAAATTATTATTTATTATATATATATTTATGACTACATAAAAATAATAAAAATATTTAAATATAAACAAGTAAAATTAAAACAATAAAAATACAATTAAAACTATATATTTAAAGCAATAAAATAAATGAAAAGATTTAAAATTAGTGACTAAATTATAGTAAAATTAAAATTAAATACCTAATTCATAATTAATCAAAATTATAGGGATTAAACATGTTATTTTTTATTTATTAATTTAGTGACTAAAATAAAATTATATAAAATTCAGATATTAGAATAAAATAAATTAAAACATACTATTCAGATTAAAATATTAATTATTAAAATTATAGGACTAAATCTGCTATTTACCCTAAATATATTATTTTAATACAAAGGACTAAAATAAATAAAATTAAAATTAAAGATCTGAATTAAAAGGATTATAAACTCGATTTAGTGACTAAAATGTAAGGATTACAAATTCAAGGGATGGCGGACAGGATTTAACAATTATTTAATTACATAAATAGCCCTCCCCGAAACGGCGTCGTTCGGGAAGGGCTATTTAAAGCCAAAATCGGCTGGCCCGAAGAGCCAGTTTCATTTCTCATCTCTTCCCTCTCTCTCTCTTCTCTGAGAGAGAGAAAAATTCTCTCGCTTCTCTCTAAAACAGAGAGAAGCTCTCCGGCCGGCAACCGCTCACCGGCGTTGACCCTGCCGTCGGCCACCGCCTTCGGTGGCCGGAATAATTTTTTTTACACTAAAACGTAGATCGGACCGTCCTAATGACGGTTCCGATGGTCTTTTCTTTTAAACGGCTCCCAATCGGAGCAAATCTAAGAAATATACCTTCGGTTTTCGAAGGTTTTTTGTGACGTTTGAAGAGGTCCGGTGGTCGTAGCTTCCTCGGTAAGCCTTTCTCCTCCCTTTTCTTTTGTTTTTTTGTTGCTGGTTGTTGTGATTTGGTCTCTATTTTTGTATCTTTGCTCTCGGTTTTTTTGTCTCTCTGGGTCCGTTTTTTTTCTTCTGCAGATGGGTGATGGCTTTATAGCCATCACCGGTGTGGCCATCGGACTGGGTAAAAGAGTGGAGTCTGGTGAGTCACCGGACTCCCAGTGGTGACTCACCCCATGGCCATAACGTGGACGGCTGGTGTTGGAACTTCTGGAGCCTTCGGTTGGGGCGTGGCAGCGGCTGGAGCAACGTGGAGCGGCGACAGCTGGTGTAGTCCCTAGGGTATCATAACCCTAGGGTTTCGTCTGGCGCCATCTGGACCGTTGGATCAATGCTAGATCCAACGATGGAGAAGCAAAGCGGCGGCAGTTGAGATATAAACCCTAAATGGGTTTTAGGGTTTTTTTGTTTTGTTTGGGCCAATCTGTTGGGCCTCGATTTGGGTTTTGTAATATTAATAAATAATATATATTAATAATAATAATAATTATAATAATAATAATAATAAATTTTAAAATAGAATAAAAAAAATTGATGTCTACAGGTAGATTCTATGATTCCTGCAACAACATCAAGTTCACTTTCCTTACAGCTTATTTCATTACCTTGTTGAGCTGGTCAGTCACGAATATCATCAAAAATATGCAGATATCGGCGAGCTCGAGCATATAAAATATGTTATCAAATGTGGCAGTGATTACTTGCTCAAGGTCTTTGCCCCTCCAGGTGCAAAATCTAACTCCACGGTGTTCTATTCACAGGCAAGCATTTGCATAAATTATTTGCCTCAAAGTAACATCGGTGACAATACTGACATTTGAGACTGTTCTCTGATGTGTTTTTAGGTCGGAAGTGCAGGTAATGACACGAAAAATCTAATCCCCAACGACATAAATTGCTGGAAAAGGCCGGAAGACATGAGCTATGAGAGGCCTGTCTCAGTTTGTAACGAGACAGCTTCTGATTTAGCAGGGGAAATCATTGCAGCACTTTCAGCAGCTTCAATAGTATTCAAACAAGATAATGGATATTCACTAGGATTAGTTAAAACAGCAGAGAAGATATATGAGGTTGCCGAGAAAGCAGACAGGAATTTAATAGGCGTGACTTAAACGACCATTGATGCTTGTGGAGAGGAAGCGAGAAAGTTTTACGACTCGTCCGGGTACAAAGATGAGTTGGTTTGGGGAGGAACTTGGTTGTTCTTTGCTACTGGGAACCACACTTATCTTGACTATGCCACTGCAAACTTTGCTGCAGCAGCTGATAATGAAACAATGGAGGACAAAGGGATTTTCAATTGGAATAATAAGATCACTGCCAATGCGGTAATTTGAGTAGATATGTTTCATGTGGTTTTTGTATTTGGTGCATACATTACAAGGACTCAGACTTATTTTCTCCTTCCATCTGATTTTGTAGGTTTTGTTTACAAGGCTTCGTTTCTTTCTTGATATTGGATTTCCATATGAGAAGGCATTAGGATTAGCCTCCAACACGACTGAACAGCTTATGTGTTCTTATCTTTCAGACAAATACTTCAATACTACGCCTGGTATGTTCATCCGGTCTCATTCCTGCAATTAGCCACAAAACATTGATGTATACTTTGTAGAGGCATTTCATCTAGGGCGGTAAGCTTAACTAGTCGAACTCGAGTATTGTTAAGGTTCACTTGATTTGAAAACTCACGAGCTTAAAATTATCAAGCTCGACTCAAAATAAATAAAAAATTGAAACTCAACTCAACTCGAAAACTCGTGAACTTAAAATCTTCAAGCTTGACTCGAAATCAAAAGTTGAAGCTCGAGCTCGAAAAAATATGAACTCGAAACATTCTCAAACTTAATTCGATTGAAACTATAACGTGAGCTACTCAAACATATAAGCCTTACATTGTAATTTTTTTAAAATATATAAATGTTAAAATTATTAATAATTTAATTTTTTAAAAAATAAAATCTGAATATATTATTTTTTTCAAGTTACTCACGAGATTTACAAGTCGGGTATCAAATAACTTACTTCGACTCATTAAGAATTCAAATTGAGTTCAATATTGAGTCAAGCCCATTTAATTCGAGTATTGACCAAATTTTCACTAAGTCGAACTCAAGTAACTCTCAATCTATCTCTTCTCATTTACAACCTTAATCTAATCATCAATAGTCTTATATGGTTTAATGGTAGGTGGATTGATCCTCTCAAGGCCTGATAATGGTGGAGCACTCCAGTATGCAGGCACGGCATATTTCTTGGGTAAATTATTCAACGATTATCTTACACTTATTCACAGATCCGGTTGGAATTGCAGCGATGGTGGGTTTTCTTTGGAAATGTTACAAAGCTTCTCCACTTCTCAGGCAAGCCTATATCTGTCAACAAGTATGCAAGTACTAATCATGCAATAATGCATCTAAAACAGCAGTCTTTATTGTTTCCTCACTTATACAGATTAATTACATTCTAGGATATAATCCGAGGAAGATGAGCTACATGGTTGGCTTCGGAGATCACTATCCAACAAGAGTTCACCACTGGAGTGCGTCGATTCCTTTGGATGGTCAATATCACTCGTGTACCAAAGGTGGCAGATGGCTGAACTCGCAAGATCCAAACACGAAAACAATTTTGGGACCAATGGTAGCTGGACCAGATCGGTTTGATGATTTCTCCGATGAAAGGGACAAACCATGGTTCACTGAACCAAGCATAGCAAGCAATGCTGGTTTGGTTGCAGCACTCATTGCACATCATGACCCTCCTCAACCATCTTCAGCTTCTAATAGCCCTAATCTAGGCCTGGACTTGATGGGGGTCTTTGAAAAAGTTAACAATCTAGCTAGCCCTAATCCACTTTTGTTTACCAAAATTTACATGGCATGAAAGGGATCAAGGACAAAGCAAACAGCATAATGTTTGAAACTCCTAATATTTGCTACATTTTCAAATTTTAGATGACGGAGCTTCAAATGTCCCAAAAAGACATAATGAACATGCACATAAAGAAACATCACAAGTCCAACCAAAGACCATTAGAAATGTCAACTAGAAAAACAGAACAGATAAGCATTTACATATGCAAATAAACATGGAGAAAAAACAAACTCACTTCACCCCAAATAGAAGCTGCAAGATGAGCCCTGATGCAGATCATATGAGAATTCAAATCATCATCACTGCAAATTTGCAACTGAAAATTTAGAAAAAAAAAAGAAAAAAAGATGTGCATTAGTTCACTATTCGAAAGGCTTAAACATCAACTTTTGCCAAAAGAAAATGGCAAATGGTTAAGTCCATGCAAGATCTCTAGCATAATAGGGGCAAAATCAATTGGGTTATGTTTCTACCAAGTTCTTTCCGTTGTCTCCCATGGAGCATATTCCGAGAAGCTCCTGGTTACACTGACATGAGGGAATAGCAATTCAGTCTAAACAAATAATACCGGTCAAGGCAAAGGGATCGAGCTCCCAATATCCTCTCCAGCAACTATCGTCTCTTGCGTCCTGGAAAGCTGGAATCAGATGAGAAAATCTAGACAATTCAGTCTCCGGAATCTCAATAACACCAGCTGTAGATCTTTGACTTCTTGGAGCCCTATAAAGTGATTTAGGACTGTTTACACATGAGAGAACCATAACTTTTTTGTTCTTTTCATTATCTTCCAACACTTCCACAATGTCGCATTCACCTTTGCCCAAGTTTGAATCTGAAGAGTTCCAGCTCTTGTATAATGCCCAAACCTCCCCCGTTCTAGGGAAAATTTTGAATCTGTTTTTTCCTATGTGCTCAACTCTTACTTGATGCGAGACTTCATTACAGGAGACAAGTTTGGTTTGACCACTTTTAACTTTAAATATCCCACAACAAATAGGAAATTTCAAGTCTTTGGGTCTTGAGCACACCTCCAGCAGAGCCACATGCAATCTGAAATCAGGAGTAGCTTCGATCTTCTTAACTTGGGCGTACTCCTTTGGCATTCCATCCCCGCAATACAATGCCCATATCTGATCAACAGCAAATTTATCCTCGGATTTCTCCCTCTTAAAATCGTAACACTCTAAATTTGAAGCTTTACGTGCAGGAGACATTGTTGTCGAGACACTCGAGGTTTTAGTAACATCAACTGTACCACTAACCCTCTCATGTAAATGCATGTTACCAACAAGCGGATTCAAGGAATCTCCTTCTGTATTACCAAAAATGTCATACTTTTCATTTTTGTTGGAAACTGAATTATTCTTGCCATTTTCTCTAGTGTCATTTTGACTTGCATTTGCTTGACTGCTGCTCAAATCTCTCGGTGACCTATGAAGTTTTAGGCAATCTGTGGTGAGATAATTTTTCTCACACTTTTTCTCGTTGTTCGTCTCATCCACAACATCATTTGAAATAGAACTTCCTTTGGGCTGAGTCAAGTTGCAATCTCTTATAGCTTCGATACTTTCATCCTCATTACTCGGCTTCATATCACCAGAATCAACCAGCTCAAAAAGGTATGTAGGAAGAGAAGCAGGATCCAACTCAAAAGATCCCACAGGTATATCTTCTCTTTCATTGCCAGTCATTCTTAATGAGGGAACTCGATGTGAAAATCTATAAAGCTCAAATGATGAAATCTGAAACGAGATAACTCCACATTCAGTTTGTCTAAAAATACCGACAAACCCTTTCACTTTACCCAAATGAGCAATCCCAATGCCAACTTCCTTATCAAAATCAGTGAGAACCTCCACAAAATCAAACTGGTACGGTGGCTTATGCTTTTCTGGTTCTGAAGCCCATTTAACATCCCAATCTTTGAAGAGAGCCCAAATTTCCCCTTTCCGAGAATAGACAAAAAAGCATTTACTGGAAAGTTTTATGAGGTCAATCCGATGGGAGAACATCAGACGATCTACACATGCCTCTGATGACCCATTGCGGTACTTGCCACAAGAAACAGGCAGATCCAGATCGACCCAGTTCTGCTGTTTTTCCTCGTCCGGGTCAGGCTCTAGCCAAGTAATTTGTAGCTTGAAACCTGGACGGTACACCTTCTTCACCCGTGCATAAAATCTTGGCATGCCATCCAATGTGTCATAAATAGCCCAGACTTGATTAACAGCAAAAATGTTCTCTGACCTGTACTTCTCAAAATCAGTGAACTCAGGATCAGGGTATTCAAGTTCCTGAGGAGATGGATTCACATCTCTACTTGACTCTAAACCACTATCAAACTGGTGTACTTTATTTTTATCAAGTATAACAGTTTCCTCTTCCTTCCCTTTAGAGTCCCCAGTTTTCCTTTTCTTTTTCATGACATCATCTTCAGGTTTGACTTCTTTCTTATATACATCTGCAGCAGTTGTAAAGCCACCGGAATTATCCTTTTTCTTACCTCATCATCCACCTTTCCCTCATTGGCATTGGGTGGTGTCGTTTTCATAGAATTTTTATATGGGCTTGCAAAATCATCATCATCATCATCTGCCAATTTTTCCTCATAAGAAATGGGTTGTTTTTGCCTTGAAGATCTCCTAAAAGGATGACCTCCATTCAAGTTTGAATTTGCCCTATTATTATTACCGCAATCTTCCTTACGAGTCACATTTTCAACTTTGATTCCACTGCCAGTTTCACAACTTACATCAGACTCTTCTACGGACTTCCACCCTCTCTTCTTATTGGCATTTCTTGAAGTTCATGATTCCTTCGGCTTTGAGGCAGTGGGCTTATGCTTTTCAACACCTTTCTTTCTATCTCTCATGTTTGAACTCTCATCTACTTTCTGAGCTGTGAACCCCTCCTTAGACTGGTGCATTTTAACCCCTACTTTCTCTTGTTTCTTAGAACAACCAACCTGAGAGCTTCCTGCCTTTGGAATGGGAGCAGACCCGGCAAATATATGTGGGACGTGGACACCAGAAGGCTTAACACTATTGTAATGCGAAGATGAGTTACATGGGACATCATTGGAGAACTGATTCCAAGAGTATCCCTGAGGACCCAAGTCATGGGCAATGAAGATAGATCCACATGAAAGACAACGTAACATCCTGTTCACAAAATCTTTGTCACACTGGAACTTGAAACCACAAGCATTGCAGAGGGTCCAAAATGTTAGATGCTTTGTGTAGAAATCAGAGTAATTCACATTAATTTTTTATAATTTTCAATATGACAGATTACATATTTATATACAAAATATCTCTCTAAAATAAGAAACTCTAAGAAAGGAAAAATAATAATCCTAGGATATGATCCCTTAAAATAAGGGATTGTAGAAATCTATTTACAAAATCATTTCTCTATAGGAATGGTAACAAATCATATCTCTATAGGAATGGTAACAAATCATCTCTATAATTCCTACACTCCCCCTCAAGCTGGAGAATATACATTGTATAATCCCAGCTTGAATAGGAATTTATTGAAAACAGGCTTTGGCAAAGCCTTAGTAAGAATGTCTGCAACTTGTTCTTCTGAAGGAATGTATGAAAGTGTGGTTGTCTTTTTGTTAACTTGATCAGCAATAGAATGCCTATCAATCTCAACATGCTTTGTCCGATCATGTTGAATTGGGTTCTTGGCAATTTGAATAGCAGATTGATTATCACACAAAACTTCAAAGTGATCCTCTTGATTAGTGACAAGTTCTTTCAGTAGTTTAAGTAGCCAAATTCCTTCGCATATTCCCAATGCTAGTGCTCTAAATTCAGCTTCAACACTACTTCTTGAAACGACAGATTGTTTCTTACTTCTCCAAGTTGGAAGGTTTCTCCAAACAAAGGTGCAGTAGCCACTAGTGGATCTCCTTTCAGTAAGGTCTCCGACCCAACTAGAATCTGTAAAGATCTTAATAGTTTTGTCGTGTGTCTTCTTAAACATTAAACCGTGTCCTGGAGTTTTCTTCAAGTACTTGAGAATTCTATTTGCTGCTGCTGCCATATGCTCTTCAGTAGGATTAGTCATGTGTTGACTTATCACATTTATAGGAAATGCTATATCTGGCCTTGTCAAGGATAAATAAATTAGTTTCCCAACTAATCTTTGAAATTTCTCTTTGTCTACCAATGACTCATCTTCTTTGTTAAATTTCAAGCTTGCCTCCATTGGTGTATCAATCAACTTACAACCAAGAAAACCAGTTTCTTTGAGTAAATCAAGTACATATTTTCTTTGGTTGATCACAAGTCCTTCTTTTGACCTTGCCACCTCCATTCCTAGGAAATACCTTAGCTTTCCCAAGTCCTTGGTTTCGAATTCCTTATTTAACAACTTCTTAAAATTGCAAATCTCTTCTTCATCATCTCCGGTAAGAATTATGTCGTCCACGTACACAATAAGGATAGCTTTCTTATTTGTAGAAGTTACCTTGATAAAAAGAGTGTGATCGGCGAGGGATTGCTTGTAGCCATTTTTCAGGATGACTTTAGTGAACCTCTCGAACCAAGCTCTGGGTGATTGTTTTAACCCGTATAGAGACTTGTTGAGTTTGCACACCTTGTTACTTCCTTCAACAGACTTTAAGCCAGGTGGCAACTTCATATAGACTTCTTCTTCTAGCTTGCCATTAAGAAAAGCGTTTTTTACATCAAGTTGGTGTAATTTCCAATCGCAATTTACAGCCAAACTTAGGAGTACTCGAACAGTATTCAGCTTCGCCACATGTACAAAAGTTTCTGTGAAATTTATCCCATATGTTTGTGTAAAGCCTCTGGCCACTAGTCTCGCTTTGTATCGTTGGATGCTACCATTTGAGTTATACTTTACAGTAAATATCCATTTACAGCCAACAACCTTTTTTCCTTGAGGAAGGTCCGTAACAGTCCAAGTAGCATTTTTCTCCAGTACACAAACTTCCTCTTCAACAGCCCTTCTCCATTTTAAATCCTTTAGAGCTTCAGCTATGCTTGTGGGAACTTGTTCTTTATCCAAGTTTGCTGTAAATGCTTGAAAAGACGACATCAATGAATTATAACCAGCAAATTTTTCAATAGGATGCTTGGTGCGCTGTCTAACCCCTTTTCTAATAGCAATAGTGAAGTCATCTAGAGTAAGGGAAGTGGACTTACTGATTTCTTCTTCTATTTCGGCAACTGGACCCAAATCCAATTCTAGACAAGCATCAGATTGCAAAACAGCCTCAGAAATATATTTACTTTTCCTTGTATAGAAACGGAGTTGTTTGATTGGTGTTGTTTGTGGAATATTTTGAATTGGAGTAGGTGTATTTTCAAGAAGGGTATTTAAAGTGGGTATGGGTGAAGTAGTGATAGGTACTACCGGTGGATCAATGGGAGAAGTTACAGGTGACAAATCTGTAGGTAAGGACAAAATTAGTGGCAATTCTGAAGGTTGAGAATGAAGAGTATGAGGAGATACCTGATGTGGCTGAAAATCCTTCCATGTCTCCCCCTGAATTTCAGCCTGAGTGAAATAGAGATCATGCTCATAAAATATTATATCCATAGTGGTAAAAAATCGTTTTGAAGGAGGATGATAGCATTTATAATCCTTCTTAAGTGAAGAATACCCAACCAGTACACACTTTAATGATTTAGGATCTAACTTAGACTTATTAGGAGCAATGTTTTGGATAAAAACAGTACAACCAAATATTTTAAGTGGAAGAATGGAGGAGATAAGTTTAAAATGGGGAATGTATTACAAAAATATAGATTGAGGTGTTTGAAATTGTAAAACCTTACTAGGCATTGGATTGATTAAATATGTGGCAGTTAATAAGGCTTCCCCCACAAATATTTTGGAACATTAGTGGTAAATAGAAGAGAACGAGTAATTTCAAGGAGTAGTCTATTCTTTCTTTCGGCAATACCGTTTTGTTGTGGGGTGTCAATACAAGAACTAATCTGAACTATGCCATTTTCCCTAAAAACGCACCCAAAGACTTAGCAAAAAATTCACTGCCATTATCAGATTTAAAGAGCTGAATTTTAGACCCAAATTGAGTGAGAACCATGTTATAAAATTGGGTAAAAACACCTGCAGTTTTAGATTTATCTTTTAACAAATAAGTCCAAGTTATCCTACTGTGATCATCAATGAAAGTGAAAACCACTTACAATTATCAGCATTCTTCACCCGAGAATGACCCCAAATATCACTGTGGATCAAAGCAAAAGGGTGAGAAGGCTTATATGTAGAAAGAGAATAAGTTGATTTAGTATGTTTGGCAAGAGAGCAAACTTTGCAAGAAAAAGAATTTGGCCTTTTATGAATGAATAGAGCAGGAAAAACTTTTGTAAGATAGTGAAAACTAGGATGACCAAAACGATAGTGCCATAACATAACATTATCAACTTTTTCTAAAGCGGTGAAAGATTTCGAGATTTCGATTTTAGTAGAGGCGGGAAGAATGTAGAGACCATTCTACAAGCTGGCCTTACCAATCATCTTCTTCGAGTTCAGTGCCTGCAAAGCACAATCAATATCATTAAAAATTGTAGAGCAGTGCAAGTCGGTGGAAAGTTTACTAACGGAAACGAGATTGCAAGCCAGATTTAGTACGAAGAGGACATTTTTAAGTACAATCTGGTCATTGAGAAAAATAGTTTCATGTCCTTCTATTTTGCACAAAGAACCATCAGCCGTTTTGATAACTTTACCAAAGTTTAAAAAAAATTGCAAAATAAATCTTTATTACCAATCATATGATCCGTAGCACCAGAATCGAGGATCCAATTAGGAGACGACTGGGAGGAGAAAAAAACTGTAGCATGAGATTTACCTTCTGGTTCTTTCATGACCAGATTACCTTCTGATTGAGCAACAGAATCAGAAAAATTTTCTAGATTTGAAGTGATCTTCAGAGTAGGAGAAGAAATTGTGGACATCATCTATGTTGGAAAGAAACCGTAACCTAAGATGATACCATATAGAAATCAGAGTAATTCTCTGTAAAATTTTATACTTTTCAATATGACAGATTACATATTTATATACAAAATATCTCTCTAAAATAGGAAACTCTAAGAAAGGAAAAAATAATAATCCTAGGATATGATCCCTTAAAATAAGGGATTGTAGAAATCTATTTACAAAATCATATCTCTATAGGAATGGTAACAAATCATATCTCTATAGGAATGGTAACAAATCATATCTCTATAGGAATGATAACAAATCATCTCTATAATTCCTACACTTTGCTTGCTGATAGACGTTCGAAGCTGTGAAATTTGAAGAACAATTCTTGTAGTTGTTAGAAAAACCAGACTTACTATACAGTGGATGCCTTATTCGATGGGTGAGATGTTGGCTTTGGTATAGTTTTCACTGAGGCTCTACACTTCAAATCATATTGATAACGTGCCATTTGGTCTGAAAGTACCCTGTTTGCTTCCCCAATTAGCTTAAAAGCAGCCTCAGCACCAGGAAATTTATTCTTGTCTGGATGAAGCAATAGTGCAAGCTTTCTAAACTGCTTCTTGATTAAACTCTCATCAGCTGACTGTTTGGTTTGAAGAATCCCATACCAATCCTTTTCTGACCCGTATATGTTGTGTTTTGCAAATAGTGAACATTACAGACTGCCAACAATTGGGTTATGTTGTCAAGCTCAGGGAACAATTTCTGTGCCCTCAATGCAAACTTATTTGCAGCCTCGAAATCACCATTTTGCATCTTCTGTTCAGCGATTACCTTTGCTCTAATAGCCTCCTCTTTGTTACATTCCATGGCTGATAGGACATAAAGACTGAACACTTGAATTTCTGAACCTATCTACCTTTCGATTACTATCATCCAAAATACTCAACCTGCACCAATGCAACCAAACGACTTAGTCAAAGATATCCAATAACTCTCAACTAAAGCCTAAATTTGAACAATTCACAACAGAAGCCCACCATTATAGAAACAATCAACAAAACATCTGCTAGTCAGCAGTCAACACATCCAGATTTAAATGAGACGCAAGGACCAGCCTTCGACACTGAACAATTCGTAGCAGCCAGACTCGTGTAAAATCCCAATGCTCACAAAAGCTAAGAATTCAAAGTGTAGAGCCTGCAACAAATTTCGAAAGATAACAAGTAAAGCCATTGGCCCATTGCTAAATGTTATTAGGATTAGAGTGTCAAGGTAACTAAACATGTCAACCAGAACATAACGGTTGAAGCCAAAGAAAAATGCCACAAAATCATAGCAAGAAACCAACCAACCAACCAAATTAACAAGAAATTAAATTAAAATTAATATGGATATAAGTGAGAACCCATAAAAATATGAACGAAACACCAAACACATAAGTATATATTCTGCTTAGTAGTTGGTACAAGCAAGAAAAAGGACACAAGTGGAGAGTAAAATCAGTCCGAGTTTTAACATGCATTCATGTACATCGGCACCGGAAAAATAAATAAAACAGAACAAAACATCAGCTAGTAGATTTGATTAATTCTTAGCAGTTTAGATAAAATATCAAGCAGATACCATACTTGTCCACTTTCTCGTTTTCTCAAGAACCAAACAATCCCCCAGAAACCATAAAATCCGAACTGCATTCAGCCAAAAGAAGATCAAAAAGCCAATAAACAAACGAAAACAAGAAAGTCATCTATGATTTAACCATTGAGCAAACATTATACAATATATACTAATCAATTTAACGAAGAAATAAAGCAAACCCAGATTGGGAAAAAGGGGTTTAAAAAGACACTCACACCCACCAAACCCAAAGTGCAGGACAATTTGAAAATCATTAAAAGAAGGAAATAAAGATCAGAATAAGATACTAGAAACAACCAAAAAGAAACTTACATTGAAAAGGTAGCAATAAATGTGAAGCAATTTCTTAAAGTACTTGGGTAGATAGAACTAGTGGGTGTATAGAGTGAGAGGGAACAAAAAGCAAAATGAACAAGAAAAAGAGGGAAAAAATTGTGGGATCGGAGCGAAAGTTGGGGAAAAAAAGAAGAGGCTTGAAATTCTTTTGGGAGAACTCCCAAGTGCATTTCTCCTTTGTTATTCGTACCAAAATACAGGGGTAAAGACCACGTTCTTTGTGTGTTTGCCTTTTCTGATTTGTTTCGTTAGTTTGAAATGCAAGCCGTAACTTATGACATTGATCAAGTATTGGGCTTGGGCCTAAGTTTGTTTTTAATTGGGCTTGAGTTGTTCGATACGAAAATAGTGTATATATTTATGGTAATGAAAAGAAAATATTAAATCGATATCCATCAATTGATAGAGTGATTAAGGCTATCCTCGCCTATCGCTGTTAAAGCTACACCATCTCATTGCAAAAATAAGTGGAATCTCTTAGTAAATTCAACGTCGAATTTGTCCTATAGTTGCCTTCATGATATATGTCCATGTGCTCAACACGAGCCTTCCACTCCCTCGTTAGAAGTTGTTTTGTCCTAAGAAAAGCATTGTGATCATCATTGCCTTGAGGATAGCCTGCACCCCTATTGAAATGTCTTTAATTTGTGTTTATATGTTTTAAAGAATAAAAATTAATGAAACCTCAAAGGAAAACTAGATAACCAAATTCGTTTAATTTCTCTATCAATCCGAGGAACATAGTAAGTTTAGATTAAGTTAATGAAGTCAAAATGGAGCATGTATTTTGTTTTTGTGTTATGTGAATTCGTTTTGTGTAGGCATTATGTGTAAAATACTGAAATTATGATTTCGACTCTTAATTGAGGATTTTACTAGCATGCTAAAGGATAAGATACGTTATTGTATGTTTTGCTATGAAATTTTGATGTTTTGATATATTCTAGCATATGTGATTGATATGTGAAATGTGATTTCTTTATGAAAATATATTAATTTTCATATGCAATAAAAAAATTAATTACACAACGATCACAAGTTCAAACAGTTATGGAGGTAATTCTAAGCTTCATGAAGTGGGTTACATTCAAACTGTGACATTATCGTGATGTAATGGACTCCATTAGATAAAAAAAAAAATCATTAGCAGCACTATGCTAAAAGTAAGGAGCTAATAATTTATAGAGGAAGCTTTATGAAGTGAGTTTTGTTCAAATTTTTTATTTGAAAACTTTCCAACAACTTGAATCATTTGTTCCTCTCAACACACATATTTTGCTAAAGTAATGAGTCAAAAAGGTAACATCGAGAGCCCAAACTTTATGAATAAGTATTCTGCTAAAGTCAATTACATATGAGCACTTGAGAACTTTTTTTAAACAGTATTTCCTACGTTACCTATACTAAAGGAGTGTAATATTTTATCAAATAAAAGATTTCTAATAATTAAAATAGAAACACTCTTTAAAAAGTCTAGCAATTGAATGTACTACTTACGTCACGTTATCCACATCCAATTTGTAGGTTAGACAAAAATAGAGGGGCTTTTCAAAAGTTTTCACGAAGACCGGGGTTCGATGGATATCTTGATGATTAAAAATCTAAGGCGAAACCAAATTGAATCACATCACCTTCTTAAATTAAACCATCAATCTTTACACTTATTAAAGGGCTATGCTTTTTTGAAAATTGGAGAGCGATTGATTTAATTGATATTTAGTAAATTGATTATTTACGTCAATTGTGAGCCCAATATAATTGTCATGGTTTTTTTTAAATCTATGCATCAAACCTTTCATATTTTGAAAAAAAAAATACATTTTTAACAAAACAAACTCTCTCAGAGATCATTCTGACTCAAGAGCTTAAAATTAAGAAATAAGTTAGCTCTAGAATTTCTGCCTCCACCACCACCACTTATACCTCCACATGGGGTTCCAATCAAAACAAAATTTGATGTTGCAAAAGAAAGGTTGCACGATTAATTTGTAACGTCTCAAAATTTGGGTTGGTAGTTTAGGTCAGCAATCAGATAATTTTTGGAGTGTCTGATAAAAATTAATTTTTGGAATTTTATTCGGTTCATTACAAAAAAAATGGCGCACGATTGGGGGTTTCTCTCGGTGCACGTTAGCAAGGCTAATGGAATCTGAGATTTCCATCGTGCCGTCGGCGATTCGTTTGCTTCTCCGTTAAATTGTTTTGTTTCCTTGATAATTTTTTGTTGCTCTTCCTTTCGTTTGCCAGATGGACTGGAGAAAGTTGTTTGGGAGCTCATCAGAACAATCCCTATATTATTTTCCCCCAAAGCATCGCGAAGGGAATCTGGTTGTTCTTCCCCCCACCAGAGGTCTTCGACGCTGGAATCTCTGAATGGGAACTGTCTCTGGTAGGAAAATTCCTCGAAGCAACACCCAATTTCTCCTCTTTACAATGGATTGTCGACAACCAGTAGAACAGAGCTTTACAAGGTTTAAGAGTCCAGGTGAGTTCGGCTGGCAACGACCTCTTCATTTTCTATTTCAATTCTGTTACTGCTAGGGATTGGGTGTTAGAGAATGGTCCATGGCACATACATAACAAACCACTGATCCTTAGGAAATGGGAGCCAAATTTGAAAGAAAATTAGTTTCAATCTGTATAAAATACCAGTTTGGGTGCACCTATACAACGTCCCTCTTAAACTTTTTACCCAAGATGGCCTTAGTTACATAGCAAGTGCCATAGGAGTTCCCCTTTCTATGGATTCGATAACAGCTTCGAAATCCAAACTTGAGTATGCAAAAATCTGTGTTGAAATTGGGGTAAATGAAGAAATTCCAAACTTTATTGAAGTTGTTCTGAAAGATGGCCAATCCACTTCGATTCAAGTGGAAATTCCCTGGCTTCCCCCTTCCTGTAGGAAATGTAAAGTTTTCGGCCATTCTGACAAGGGATGCCTGCATAAACTGAATCCAACCTCAACGGTTTCCCAAGTTTGGAAAAAGAAGGAAGATTTAAACTCAAATTTTGTATCCCCAACAATAGGAGGAGTTGAACTTCTTCAGGAACCTTAGAATTCAGAATCTATGCTATCAGAAGATCAGAATCCTTCAAAAACTATTGATGTTAATGAACTAGATCACATTGAGACTAAAACAGACTCTAATGTTAAAGAAGAACAAAATGAGCATCCTGTATTCGATCCTACAGCAAGTGTCTCTATAGACTTAGTTGATGAGAGGGACCATCAAACAAAATGCCTTAAAGAATCAATTGAGGATGAAAAGATAGTCACTCAAAAAATAGTTCTAAAATGGGGAAGAGGTAGGCATGTTAAGAATAACTCCAAAGCATCACTAGTAGGTTCTAAAAACAGGTTTGAGGTGCTCAATATAATAGAAGAAAATTCACAAAGCGCAGATCGACCTCCAAGGAAAATTCGAACTGCTTCTATGGGAGTTGCAGGCCTGATAAATGAGTTAAAATCGAAGAAGAGGGAACACATAGACAAAGCTCAATGCAATGTAGTAGAAGGTCATGGGGGTAATGTGGGATCATCATCTAAATGATACTAAGCTTTTGGAATATAAGAGGTCTTAATAAACCTCTGAAACAAGAAAGAGTACTTCAAAGAGCTAACCACTACAAAATTGATGATTTGTGTTTAATGGAGACTATAGTCAAACTAGATAAATCAGAAACTATTTTCAAGTCAAAGTTTGCTAATTAGAATGTTTGTACCAATTATGACCACGCTTTAAATGGGAGAATTTTGGAATTATGGAGGAAAAGAATTGATCTCTCCATCATCCATGTTACTGATCAATGTATCACTGTTAAAGGAAATTATCTTGGGGCTCCTCTGTTCATCTGAGCTATTTATAGAAGCAATGAAGGAATAGTAAGAAGACAGCTATGGACCCATCTTCGAGAACTGGACAGAGTTATTAAGCATACCCCTTGGATTCTAAGAGGGGACTTTAATGTTATTTTGTAATCTTTTGAAAGCCCAGATCATGAGCTTTTTGGCCACTATCTTACTCCTGATATGAAAAATTTCCAAGACATCACTCATGAGCTGGACATTCAAGACCACCCATATTTTGGCCCTTCCTTCACTTGGACTAACAAGCAGAAAGAAACCTTTCTGGCAAGAAAACTTGATAGGGTTCTGATCAATCCTTATTGGGATAATTCTTTTCTTTAATCCTTTGTTGAATTCACTACTCCAGGAATTTCATATCATTGT